ACATATTACATAAGGTGCTAAAAAATACAAGACTATTACTTTGTTCCATTACGCTGCGTCGGCACATTTTTGTGGTTTTTGTATTTTAATCTGGATGTAACAAATAAACCGTTAGTCATGTCTCAAGACTCGGGCATTCCTGTTCATGTTCGTCTAGGTGTAAGCCCTTGTAAGGGGTTCACAGTCTGCTGCAGTTGGGCCTAAGTGACCCTTTTGTTAGTATATTGTGCTATCTGTTGTCTATGTACCTGCGTGGCATAGTCTGTTCTCTTATATGCGGTTCCAACGCCTTTAGCGGCGCTATGGGAGATAAGTGTATATAGAGTGTCCATTAGTGGAGTTGGCGTGTGCTTTCGAGGGTGGGTTATGTTACGTCCCTAACCCTAGGGGACGTCCGGGGTAGTTTGGGGTATTTGATTGGATGAGTGAATGGGACTAGTTTGGGGTATTTGATTGGATGAGTGAATGGGACTAGTTTGGGGTATTTGATTGGATGAGTGAATGGGACTAGTTTGGGGTATTTGATTGGATGAGTGAATGGGACTAGTTTGGGGTATTTGATTGGATGAGTGAATGGGACTAGTTTGGGGTATTTGATTGGATGAGTGAATGGGACTAGTTTGGGGTATTTGATGGGATGAGTGAATGGGACTAGTTTGGGGTATTTGATTGGATGAGTGAATGGACTAGTTTAGTACGAATAATATGAATGGACCAGTTTGGGGTATTTGATCGATGAGTGGAATGGACCAGTTTGGGGCATTTGATTGATGAGTGAATGGACTAGTTTGGGGTATTTGATTGGATGAGTGAATGGGACTAGTTTGGGGTATTTGATAGGATGAGTGAATGGGACTAGTTTGGGGTATTTGATTGGATGAGTGAATGGGACTAGTTTGGGGTATTTGATTGGATGACTGAATGGGACTAGTTTGGGGTATTTGATTGGATGAGTGAATGGGACTAGTTTGGGGTATTTGATTGGATGAGCGAATGGAACTAGTTTGGGGTATTTGATTGGATGAGCGAATGGAACTAGTTTGGGGTATTTGATTGGATGAGCGAATGGAACTAGTTTGTGGTATTTGATTGGATGAGCGAATGGGACTAGTTTATTTGGATTGATGAGTTTAATGGGACTAGTTTGTGGCATTTGATTGATGAGCGAATGGACTAGTTTGTGGTATTTGATTGATGAGCGAATGGACTAGTTTGTGGGTATTTGATTGGATGGTTTAATGGACTAGTTTGTGGTATTTGATTGATGAGCGAATGGGACTAGTTTGGGGTATTTGATTGATGAGAGCCAATGGACTAGTTTGTGGTATCGGATTGGATGAGCTTAATGGACTAGTTTGTGGTATTTGATTGGATGAGCGAATGGGACTAGTTTGGGGTATTTGATTGGATGAGCGAATGGGACTAGTTTGGGGTATTTGATTGGATGAGCGAATGGAACTAGTTTGGGGTATTTGATTGGATGAGCGAATGGAACTAGTTTGGGGTATTTGATTGGATGAGCGAATGGAACTAGTTTGTGGTATTTGATTGGATGAGCGAATGGGACTAGTTTGTGGTATTTGATTGGATGAGTGAATGGGACTAGTTTGGGGTATTTGATTGAATGAGTGAATGGGACTAGTTTGGGG